TTATTTGAAATAAATTGTGACTTTCTAACTTCGGCGGTCTTGGGGGCGTGCTGGGCAGCGGGGGACCCTCGGCCCGCACCTCCGCCGCCGCCATCGCCCCGGCCCGGCCGGCCCCGCGTCACCGCGGCAACGGCCCGGCGGGCGCTGCGGCAGCGCGGGGCGGGGACAGCGACAGCAGCCACACCTCCCCTCCACCCCGTCCCCATCCCGCTGCCAAGGAGAGCCAGGACACCGCCGAAGTTAGAAAGTCACAATTTATTTCAAATAAACCATGGGCACACCTCTGGCAAACGTCTCCCGGGCGGTTTCCGCCGCCCCTGCCCCTCTCCGGTGCCTGCGAAGAAAAGCGAAGGGGTGGCAGCAGCGCCGAACCCCCCAACCACACAGCCCAACAACCCCAACCAGACCGGGGCCAGGAAAGGAATTCCCAGAACAAGTGCCTCATTTAAAAATAAAGTTCTATTTTTTTTTTCACCTGCTTAAAAAGTCTAAAATTTAGAGTGCAAGACTATAGTACAGAAACCTCCTGCTGCCCCACCCGCGAGCGGGCACAGCACCTTCACCGCGCCCAGGGCAGCAGTCATGCAGTTTACGGTATCAGTAGAAAACGTTTTGTTACAGTCTGGGAAGCCTGAGGACTATCAAAGATGAGGCAGCCAATGCACCAACACAAGCGAAGCCGAAATAAAAGAGTGCTGAATGCAAGGATGGAGAGGCGCTGGGCTGGCGCAGGAGCTGGAAACAAGTGCAAAAAAGAAAAAAGAGAGCAAACATTCCACGTCTGTAGCAGTAACGCAACCATGGGAAATTTGTACCTCAGGATTAATGGCTCCTGAGCCACTTTCTATTCACCTACATCCATGTAACCTTGCTGACTCAAAGAGGGCCATGTACCTATTAGAGGGGAAGAAACTGGCCTTGTCTTTGGGTGTTGAGAACCTGTTTCCCTCCAGCCACCTTCCTCTTGAGCTGTGTCAGCCACCTTACACGTGGAGCCAGCAGCCCCTGTGCTCTGCAGGTTTTGTCCTGGAGTCCACGACCTCCTGTACAACACCAATACAGGAGTTGCCCTGCTTGGGCTGCAAAAGCAAGTCCTGTTGTTTTCCCAGAGTACAGCAGCAGGATCCATGCATGCAACCCAGGACTTTCACCACCTCCAGAAAGGGTGTTTTGTTTTGTTTAAAAAT